GTGGTCAACAATTGTTATAACAAAGTTACATGGACCAGACAAATTACTCTGTTACAACCAGGCCTGTGTTATAAAAGGAGTAGCAAAATGAACAAACACACAAAAATTCAATCTTTACTAATGGTGGAAGTTGTAGGACAGTAAGACCTCATTAGTAGCTAGAATGAAAGGTTTCTTTGCTCTTGTTTTTCATGCGAAGCAACCATTATTAGTGATGTTTTCATTCTCATCAATTAAGGAGACACGTCAAGGAAGAACGATAAGTTTTACAAATAAGGGGGCATTAAAACTCATAACAAAACATTCCAAGCCTGAGTTATTTTATTTCCCTGTAAATACATTAAAAAACTCAATTGAAAAATTGAAATTTGATTTATTTTTCAATTGTGGCAAATCAGCGTAATTATCTATTCCAAAGAAAGTAAATTTATGTTCGTTAATTTATTTTCATTTATTCCTGTGGTTAAAATATTAAAGAAATCAAAATTTAAATTAAGAGATTTAAATCGAGCAATTGGATTCATATCATTATTTTGCCACTGATAACCCCCTTTAGTACTGTCTAAGCTCAGGTAAAATACATGCAGTATAGCATCTACAATTGTTCAGTGGACAGTTCCTTCGGGATAAAGGGGACAAAGGTCAAGTTTTAAACTGGGCTTTACGTTTTGTCAAAACAACAGTTCACAGGAATTTGTAGACCAAGAACTCAAATATAAGGACCACTGACTGAAAATGTTGACAGAATCAATGCCATTCACATGGACTGACATCCCCCTCCCCAAAACACCTACCCAAGACAAAGACATTGCCACGGAAACTGAATGACCATATAAATCTAACCTAGACAACAGTACTTGGTCGGAGGATATTTCAGCTGGTATTGTAAACCCACTGGGCCAACAAGCACTAGCCCTTACACGTCAACCATACGTCTGCACCTACGTTTTAGCTTGCTCCACTGCCGTCTCCTTGGTTGCTGTGGTAACCTCCTCCCCCTTGAGCTTGACTCGCTTCAAGAGGGCTCCCTGCATCTCGCTCGTCCAGTCTTCGTCTAGTGTTCCAACTTCCTCCAACCTAACCTCTTCCTCCAGCAATGCCCCTGCCTTCTCTCGCGCTGCTGACACCAGCCTGGCATCGATGTCCTTGATACAGTTTGAGGCAAGTCGGGAGCTGACAAAGTCCACAGTTTTCTTCAGGGACGGGGAATGGTTGTCAAAGAAATTCTTCTCCAGATCTTGCTACAAGACAAGCAAAAACTACATGCAGACCCCAAGGCAACTTATCCTGAGACATTTTGTAAATCTGTTAACCACTTCCTGCTGGGGCATTTATCAATGTTGATGATGCTGGGTCGGCATAATTATCATTTTTCCCGTTTTAAAAATTCTTCAAAAATTCATTATTTCATTTAAGAGACGTTTATAGCCGCACGAAGTAATCTTTAGGCACTACTCTAAGTTGACAGGTCACCTTCATTGATGCCCAAGTATTTCAGCCAGGCCTACAGCCTTGTAAAAAGAGCCCAGATTGTGCGGTGTAACTTTCTTTTATTCACGAACCTGGCTCAGTGCACTGCTGACCTCTTTTCAATAGGGGCCAGATTAGCGTGCAGCGGTGCTGTGTGGCTCATCGCTGCGGTGGTGGAGCGCTTTTGTCCCCGGTGGTAATCCGCTCGCTCTCAATGCCCCAAACCCTGGTATACGGTTTCAAAATTGGATTGGATTATCATCACTTTTGAGAGTGAAAAATGTCGATAATGCCCACCAGCCTGGTCTTTTGTTCGGAGTATGGTCTTTTGTCACAGGGCCCTGTTCCCTTTGTCCGAGTTCGGAGACCCCGGCCACGCATATAAAGCATACGTCTCCGATTCCGGAGTCCCCGGCAGGAAGTGGTTAAGTTTCATGCTCATCTTTTTATTGCACACTATTGAGGGCCACAACAGACCATTGGAAAGTAAAACCTGTTGATGGCCTCGTAGGATCAGAAAAAGTTGGCAATATCAACCAGTAATTCATAAGCTAGCACTGAACCCACTAAGCAGGTTCAATGCTGAGATGGGCTGGCAAAGTATGCATGCCCATTTCAGTCGTCAGTACCAACAATTGGTCTTAAGTTACAAGTACCACAGTTACAGTTACTGGTGGTCATTTCACCAACATATGCAAAAACATTTTTTCAACAAATCACAAAAACATGTATTTCTTTAAGATTAGAGCAACATGATCTATTGGAGTGTTCACAAGAGTTCCATGTATTTCTGTGCTGGAAACTTAGCACATCTCTCAACATGTCCTTGTCTCATTAGCACGTAAAAAAGCCTGCTTCATCACACCGACGTGATGTCAGGAGCACATATATACACATACACAAACTGTCATTCTTCTTATTTTAAAACTTCATTTCAAATCATGCAGCTGCACATCTTAAACTTTAGGCCAACACCCAAGGGGGAATAATTAATTATCTCCTTCACCTGTAGTTGCTGAGCTGTCGGGATGGGCTGAGGCGGAGTTTTAGCAGCAATGGGTGTAATCTTTTTCATGGGTGTGGTTTTGGATCCAAAGCCAAGGGAAGCATCCGTCAACAAAGCTCTAATGTCCCCTGTGTTAGTAATCACAGAAAGCGTGTACAAACAATGATCTGCGTCATGCATGGCATTCCGCAAATTAACTTATCCTTCTCGAGACCAGTTTCTGATAATCAGCCCTTTGTTTTTTAAATACTGCTGCTTAATTTGTTTTTGTGTTGCATTAAAATTTTGTTTTTATAAAGCTGTCGTGTGAAACACAAATGCGGCTGCAAACTTGCTGAATGCATTGCTAAGAATGAACAGAAAAATATGGATTTTGTAATTTTAAAATACAAAATTGTTTATGTAACACCACTCAAGACCTTGTCCGCAAGTATTCAATTCTGATCTGCACAAGGGTATACAAGAATACCTTTGCCAGACACACTGAACTCTTACCAAGGTAAGGACAGCAAAGGTACAGTAACTGCTGGTCCACAAGATGAAGATTGTCGAGTGATGGGCCAGTTGCTCTTCGCTGCATAATGGCACTGTCGAACACAAAGTCATCTCCAAAACTCAAGAAGTACATAGATGCTGGCATACCTGGAACCTGAGAACAGTCAATTCAATGGGAAGAGTTAAATTTCACTTCCGGATTTGCACCACATCGTCAAAATGTTGCAAATTAATAGGATGCTTTTACGAAGGACAAAAATAATTCAGAGATTGTTTATTATCATATGAGTGAACAATTAATGTCCTCCAATTTGCAGGCAGTGGTATCCATTTATACAGTTTTATTTAAATTATTTCAACTGCTCTTAAACATTAAAGATAAACTTTTTCTTTATTAAGAAGTAATAAATATTGTATAGTCACAACCACAGAAAATAACTCGTTTTCATATTTCCTTCTTTGTATGCACGAAATACTTTTGTGGTATCTCTTTGCCATATGAAACTGTGGGGGGGATGCATATAGGTGATGACAGAACTTTGGATGATGTGGACTGTGTGGAAGTTTGGATGATGTGGACTGTGTGGAAGTTTGGATGATGTGAACCGTGTGGAAGTTTGGATGATGTGGAGTGTGTGGAAGTTTAGTTGATGTGGACTGTGTGGAAGTTTGGATGATGTGGACTGTGGAAGTTTAGACGGTGTGGACTGTGTGGAAGTTTGGATGATGTGGACTGTGTGCAGGAGTGTGGTATAGCACAAGTTTCTATGCAGCTACTATAAACTGGAAAAAAAATAACCCCCTGTAACAACTCATTTTCAGGTGCATGTTCCTCAACCCCCTCCCAAAAAAACAAGCTTTTGACTTCACCTCAAACAGCCATCCCAGGACCAGGAGAACCAGTAACATATTGTAGCTGGTTGGATCAGAGCTCAGCCTTGCGGAAACTTTCCTGGGTAGGGATAGTAAACAAGTAAATTTCTCCAAGGGTTCCAGGGAATTTTCCATTCTTTAGCCTCAGCAATTGGAAATTTACCGACCATCTTCAAACATCGAATTTGGCAATATTGCTCACATTTTGACAAAGGTCTTCTCAGTAGAGCACTCACAAATTAGTTCTCATGCAACAAAAACTTTATCACAGTGCGAGTCCCTGATTGGAACTGGATGTGATTTTGGTGGTATATTCCATTGTTCAACCCCTCTTCTCTTGACAATTAATACATTATGCACAACCACAAAGTATTCTGCATACCACCTGAGTACGAGTGCAATGTCCATTACTGGTTCAGGACATATCATGCAGCTGAACTCACTTTTTAAACGCTGACCAATCGTAATTCTTCCCGTACCCATCTCACAATTAGCAAAGACTACTGACGTGAAAGGCCCACTCTGCAAACAACCTCACTGGCAGAACTAGGGTGAAACTTTTGGAGGAGGCGCCCAGGGTGTACATGCATTTTTTCTGGGGGGGCACTGACAGGGAATTAACTGTTGCTTGTGCACAGCCTGCACACAAAATGGGGAAGGGCGGCACGGGCTGTGGACGGGGGCACTCGCTCTGAACATGCCCACTCTACCTGTAAACCTGGACCAGGAGTCGGAGGATGACTTGGATGGAATCCAGTTGAGCCGCCATGGGGTCCACCATGCTGAGATACTCCACTACCCAAGGGATGGTCATGACCAACCGGTGCTGGTGACAAGACAGCCGCAAGCTGTCTAAGATGTCGATCGGAGGGCAACACTGCACAGAAACAGGTGGCTTGCTGAAAAACCTTCTCATTGCAAGGGGGTAATTTCAAGAAACTATGAAGCTCATCAGATATTCTCAAAGAAAACCAGGTTCCAATTACATGGTTCTGCTAACCAAGGAATTCTGTGATTATAACATTCTGTGACTTTAGTTCTAGTAGAGGACTCCTCCACAAACCCTTAGGTAAAGATGGTTTCAAGCAAAATATTGTGATAAATGTAAAGTTTGTTTAACTGTTTACCAAAGCTGAGATTCTTCACTTGGTAAGTGGATCCACAATACTGGGTCCTCGTTACCAGTTAGAATGGACTGAAATTAAGGTAATCCCCGCTTTTTTACCATTTCACTGTACTTTTTAATCTCCATGTGATCTGACACGTTCTCCCTCTTACCTTGCTACGGAGTGTGATCACATCTCCTTGGACAGCTTCAGGGAGGGCATCGTGTCCACGGTACGGTAGGAAGACAAGGAAACCCAGGAACTTGGCAAGGATCCTGGCAGATTGCAGACTGCTGCTGAAGCTACTGCGAACCTCCTGAGATCAAAGCAATAAATGAAAAACGTGTGACAACCCCAAAATCGTGTGTTCGCAAATAAGCCTCAAACTATGCCCTGTGGACCTTTAATGACCATCCAAACGTACTCAGCTGTCGTCAGATTCTACAAATGAAACTGCTTCACTGAAAAAAATTAAAGGACTTCCATAACGTTGTCCCATCATGACAAACTTCCCATGAAAAAATTCTAATTTTTCTGACTTCCCCCCCCCCAAAGTTTCTTTACTCTGACAGATTTGGTAAAGTCCCAGCATTATTTGTACACATTTTGTATCATGAGGCTTGATGCCATAAATTTCCTACTAGCACAATGACAGAGCTATTGGTCCTTCTGCATGTAGCTGGAATTGGGTCCACTGGGAGCTTCCTCAGAGTGTTGCCAAGGCAGAAAGGCTTATAAGAGCCCATGCAAAATATATGAAGTTTGTACACAATTCACTTTACCACAGGTGGCGGAGGTCTCAACTTAGTTCCACAGCCCACCCGAGTCAACTCAAAACAAATAATCCCCCAATTCTGCTCCAGGTTCCAAAACCAACCCAAAATGGAAGCCAAATAAAAATTGAAATTCAATCCCAAACATGCCAATCCTGCAGCCATCCCATGTGTCCGTGTATTTCTTTCATTTTCTATTAACACTCCATAAAATTTTTGAACCTTCAACTCATTTCAATAATTGTTATTAATATTCCTCAGTGATACAGATTGTAACTTTTTAGAAATTTCTCAAGGATAAGGATACAGATTATTGTAGCTTGCATAGCTTGAAAATGTTTACTCCTGGAAATCTTTATGCAAAGCATTTCTCCAATATATTCACGTCATTTAGTAGTCTGTTAGAATTCTTGTTTCACCTTGGATATAATTGTTAATCTGTTCAATTGTGCCTATTTGTGACAGTCAATCAGTGTCTGGCTTGAATGCGAGTTTGTTGATAGCTTTAATGTGCTCGTAACATGCCTGTCCTGAATGCTGCAATTTCGACATTGTTTAAGGGTCCCCGGCTCAGTTTTAATGCTAAATTGTTACCTAGCTTTGGCAATACACAACTGTGTGTTCAGCTTCTTTTTTCACTGTACCATTCCTCGCACCAACTGAGAAACTTCCAAATCTGGACAAACTCACATCATCAACATAGTTAGACTCAGCGTCCCCTTCTTGGTCGGACAAGCCAAACTGCATCTCATTCAGCTGACAACAGCAAATGTAGAAGGAAAGAAAAAAATCTTGAGGGAAAATGGACAGTGTTTGATTAACCGTAACCCTCCTCAATCCTCCAAAATCCTACAGGCAGTTTTGGAGGATCTTGGGGGGATTAAGGGTGAATGGCAAAAGTGCATGGCTTATTGCGAAGGACGCCATGAGTGAACATCATGGGTTAGACCTTATGTTGTTTTTGCTCAGTCATGCATAAATTCAGCCCGGTATTTCTTTTGAATCAACTGCACTGCTCAAGAATGCCATTCACACTGCCTCAACATAATGACAGGAATTGCCAGAGGATTTTGAAGGATTGAGGCAGTAGGCACACCTCCAAGTAACATTTTCAAGAATTTGGGAGGATTTTGGAGGATTGAGGGAGAACCCAATTTTGTCACCCCCCCAACTTGGGGGATTCTGGAAGATTGAGGAGGGTCCCTAGCAAAAACGGCCTAGGGAGTTGCGGTTAATGTGCAATACTCATTAGACTTGGATGGCTTATAAATAGTCTAGAACTGCTCATCAAATGAAAGTGAAGGCTTATACATGTACATGTAGTCTAGACTTGCTCATTAATGAATTTGTACAAAGCCATGTGGAGCAAGCAAAACTATAAAAAAAAACATGCGAGGCTGCCCTTAGCAGTCAAGCAAACACATGTTTGATGTCAATCATGACCTCAGGATGCTCAAAATATAGTGCAAATTGATGAGTCACTGTCCACTAATTTTCACAAAACCAGAGACAAACAACCCCACCAAAAAGTTTGAAGACATAAAAGAAAGAAACAAAGAGGAAAGCCAACCAACAGAAAAAGAATTACCTCTGTAATCTTGCTGGCAAAGTTATCAATCAGGTGTTGGTTGAATAGAAAACTGAGGAAGCAGAAACAAAAGAGATATTTCATAGACACCTTTCAATCCCCTAAGAAAATGCAAGAGAAAGTTTGCCACAATAGAAGTTTATTAATAAAATCCTCAAGATCAGTGCAAGCACTGTTGGCATAAACAAACTAGTCACAACTTCAAACTTCAAACCTGTCTGCCACCAGGATGAATGTCTTGAAGAACTCCTGGCAACCAGGAAAGGTTGGAGGCGGGCTTGGCCCGCCGGACACAGTCGGGATACAGAACCTCTCTTCAAGTCTGTAAGATGAAAATAATAACACTCAGAAATACTTGCGATGGAACCCAGGAGAAACACAATTTCATTGGGTGACAGATCTATTTCACAAGGCACCTGAGTGGAATTCATTGCATGGGTGGGAAACAATTATTATTTGTAGAACAGTGCAGAGCTGGATTAAAAAGGAAATAATGCGTTTGTGTGGCGCTTTTACGAGTTTTCTCCGTTCTAAAATTTATAAATTCCCTCCCACCTTCGTCATAATGTGCACTATCCATACACATATCTAGTTGCCACATTCTTCAGGTTTTGAATGCAAGGCCATCAACAGTTTTTCTTTGCCAAATGGAAAGAGAGAATATTCAATTTCGCCAATCAGTGATTATACATGTATTTCTATCAACTGAATTTGTGAGTATTGTAGTGACAGTGCCCTTGGGCATAGAGACAATGTACCCATGACAGAAAGACTTCTGTTCTGGGGATGGCAATTGCCACTGTTCCAAGGTCAAGTCCTATCTGCTTAAGATCTGTTGAGATGGTGTCTTTGAATAGATCGTATTTGCGGCGTTCCCAACTTCAGTCATATTCCTGAACGTACAGTATAAATTTGAAACCCGTAATAGGAGTGTACCAGGTGATTTTGGGGGTCAGAATGAAATCGTAGATTATAGTCTGGTTCTTTGACTTTAACGTTTTCCAATAAATACACAACGTTGGGAACTATGACTAAACTTGGGGACGCCGTGAATACAGACTATTGGCATGCTTCTGTTAATTGATTTGAGGAGCACAGGCCACATTACCTCTTGAATTTTTCTGGGTTTGTCTTCTTCAGGTTGCCTAGGAAACCTTGCTCCTTGCCGTCGTCATTATAGTCAGATATTGGGTCTTCCCCCTGACACATCTATTAAGCCAAGGCAAGCGCAAAATGTTATCCCAGGTGTTGTTGCCAATTTTTTTTTGCTATGGTCCATTCTCTTGTGTGTGCTGATGGCAAATGATGCCCAATCACTGATCAAACTCTGAATAGAAACTGTTACAAATATAAGTCTGTACATGTCAAATGAGGCTGTGCCCAAGATACTTGGCTATGGCTTGAGAGTACACATGAGTCTACAGCAGTGTCTGCAGCCACTACTCACAGAATAGTCGCTGATTTCAAGCCACAGCCAAGTCATTTGGACAAGGCTAAAGTGTGTGAAGTGGTGCCACAGTAAGAGTGCCCTCTGGAGTTGGGAAACAGCACAGACATAGAAAGCATGGGCAACAGTGAACTCATCAACATTCAACAAACAATCAAGTCCTGTTCCTCTGAGGCAGACATATTTACACAAATATAAGGTATGAGACTCATTTTACAGTCCTGTCAACTTCCACTGTAATCCGGACTTGTGAGACTGAAATATCTCGACCAGCAGACCTCTCAGCTAATGATGCCAGTTTTATGTTTATATGTGTACTTTCCTGTGGAACGCAGTGGGCCAAGGGCCCCCTTTGGCTCCATAGGAAAGGCCACATGTAAATGAAGTGTGTGATGTCATCAGTACATAGACCCGTTTACAAGCAACTCATGAACTCACCCTTGTGAGCTGAGAAGTGAAGAGTCTGGCAAAGTGGGTACAGTTGGATATCTCCACAACCTGCTGAACCAAATCCCTGCAGAATTATTCCACAGAACAAATGATTTATTCCACGGATCAATTTAAAGCCGGATTTTGTATACTGGAAAAAAGTAAAAAATGAAAGCTTTAAATACACAGACAGATTTGTATGGCTCATTTTTTTAACGCTCAAGCAATGTGAAATATAAACAGTGCTCAAATTGCACCGGGCCACCGCAGACACGGCGGTCAGTGACCTTACAATATGGCTGCGGTGCCCTGAAAATTTCCACTTTTTCCACAGCCAAAGCTGGCCCCATTCTTCCTGGATATGGTGCCCCTGAAAAAATATTTCCCGTAAGTTTCCAACTTCACATTCACATGAATGTCTTTTGTGTTGCGATCTACTGCTACACAATTGCCTTCATGCCACATGGGTGCATGCACAGCCGGGGCAGCCGAGATGTGGAGCGCCGCGCCACAGCGCCATACGGCATGGTGAGGCGTTCCTGCGCTGCAATTGGCTTCGATTTGCAATACATAAATTTATATGTATTTCGTTCTGCAGTCCAATATTCGGGGGACGATTATACCTGTTGAATGTACGTGTTGCCAGCCAGCCTAGCCCGGCATAATGTGCAGCAACCCAACTGGCACATGCCTACACAGGCTTAGGCCTGTGTCCGAAACAGGCCTCCACAGCTAGGTCTTTTGTCCCCCCTAATTCATGTATTTTCACACACTATCCATGAGGTGGACTCAATTCCGAGCTTTCAAATTAGACAAGCAACAAGGCAAATGGCTGAAGTTGCATGAAAAACACTTCACTTGCACAACTGTGAAGAATTAATTTTTTTTTTTTTTAATCAGGCCACATGATCTCTACATCAACCAAACCCTGATCCACGACGAAGTCGGGTAATGTAAAGTTGTGATGGGTACACCCAATTCCTCTTGGTCCATCCATCTTGAGAGTATCTACATGTACCAGAGAAGCAACCTACCTAATTCGTTTGGACATCACTGCCACCATGCTCCATTCTGGTTTGTTGTGGCAATCCAACCACTCACGTACCAGCTCATAGAACTTGTCCCTACATGGAGTTCAAGGGGGTAAATTATATTATGACTAAAGGCAAGATAAAAGGCATGAAGAGTGAGCTAAAAACTAGTAGACCAAATTCTTGATACAAGCAAACACTTTGCATTGTCAGCAATTACACAGATGACCTGACAAACAGGCTTAATGTATTCATGAAACTCATTAATACATGTATGAAAATGAACATTAAACTGGATTATTGTTTAATTTGCAGCTCAGCTTTCTGTAATTTCATCACAGCCAAAAGTACATATATTTATATGTACTCCAAAAACGTAAACGAGTCAAACTAGGTGATTGCTCAAATGTCCAAAAGTTCAAAGCACATTCTCACGATAAGCCAGTTTGGTATTTTCAACAAACAATGATGCAAAAATGAAGTGTGTTATAGGTCATTCAAAAACATCAGCATGCACACGCAAGGTGGGTTTGCTCTTGAATGTTCTTGCCTTTTGTGACATACCTAACAGGCTGTTCTCATTATTTCTCTTAACCCATATCTTAATCAGAAATTCAAAATCAACTTTTCAAATTTTTGAAAATAATAAAGCAGAATTAGGGCCAGTGAAAAGACCCATTAATACATCAAACCATAAAATGAGATTCTGTAACTTTGATATATCTGCAATGATTTTGTCATACCCAGCAAAAGTTGTAAAACTACTAAATCAAGAAATCAGGTATTATGTATGCTAAGAATATTTCTGACCTCTGCTTTTTGAAGCCATGGAAGGCTTCTTCACTGGGGAAATTTCTCCTGTTGTCTGTGTCAGCCAGGAATGGAACGGCTTGGACAGGAGACTTAGTGGTCACCATAATGGACTTTGCTGGTCCTCCCTCAACGGCCGACTCCAACTTCGCCTTGAGGGTGGGGCTAAAGTTGGACAAGTGAGGGACCTCTGAGAGCAGCCTCAAGGTGGCTTTATCCAGGAACAACAGGAGCCTGGAGAAAAACAAATGAAGAATGTTGATGCAGCTTGCAACATCTGCACTTTGAAAATCCTCTATTACACAAGTGCCCGTGAAAATATGGCATGCAACAACACACAACACTGCACACGTACTCTTTAATCTTCAATAAAAAAGTCATACATACTGTTTCAAATTGGTAAAGTTACTTCAGAAGCTTTGGAAGTGGCCTTATTTTCCCTTGCTATTTCACATTCTAAAAAAAAAATCCACAGGGAGGCTATGGGGAATTCCTAAGATAAGATTTGACATAGGTAAGCCCATTCATACACTTTGGTCAGGTAAAGGAACACATTTGAGGTTACCAATTGCAGCAAATCTTACTAATTTCAACAGAATTTCTTTCAGTGTTTTTAAAACCAATTGATCCAGTAACCTAGCCCTAGTGGGGCACATAGTTGTGCAGCTGTGTGTTCCTGGCCTCCTTACAAATCAAACTCAACGTTAAGAGTGCTGGGTACAAGCAAGAAGTTGTTTTTTCTCTTTCACAAGTACCAGAATTGCCGGAGAAGCACCGACACAGCAAAATACACGCAATTGTGGATGGAGCAGAGATAATTGACATCTTCCAGATCACAGCTGCCGTTGATACCTTCCACGGTTGACACGCTTCCTTTAGCAGTCAGCAAGTGAACCAGGAAATAAAGCTCCATTGTCAGATTTGGCATCAAACATTCTGGGGGAAGAAATCATGCATTCAATGTCAACAATTCTATACTAAAAATCTGAAGTACAAGATAGCAGGGCAAGACTGAAGATGACCAATCCCCATTGGCAACAAAACCACACAATGTAACCATTTTGAGTTACCGACAAATGAGGAATATGTGTCAATAATACATAAAATGTGCTTTCTTCTGCAACTCATTACAAAGTGAGACAGGAAGCCTGCAGGGTAATGCTACATTTATTCTTGGAAAATGAATTTTCTAACCTTGCTTCTCCATCTAGAGGAGTGTACTTGGGAACAAGGCAGGGTTTTGTACATGTATGTTACCTTTTGTACATGCTGAATAAAGGTCCACGAGCTTGTCAACATGGTCTTGGTAGGTCACCTCATCCCTTGAGGCCTTGGCAAACTCAGACGGGTAGGAGAAGGCAGAGGAGGTTTTCGATGGCTTTGTAGGAGTCTGTGGTGTCAGCAAAGAACAAGCAGGAACGGGGTTGCTGGAGGAGCTTTCCTTATTGGGGTCTGGAAGACTCGCTTGTTGCTTGAGGCGTTCAAGCCGCAAAAGTTCTCTCTCCTTTTCAAGGCCTTGGCTAGATTGGGACTGACTGTGCAAACTGGCGGTGGGAGATGGAAATGCCATGCCAAATGAAGAGCTCTGAAGTGATGGCTCCTCCTGATATGATTTGGAAAAAGCAGGAGTGGAGAGGGGTTGCTGTTTAACTCTGGTGGTGAGGACTTTGAGATGACTGGTGATGGTGGTTGGTGTGATTCTTCTTGTTGGAACAGTTGCAGCCGTGGATGGGGATCCCACCGCAGGGAAGTCGTCGGAGTCATTTAAGACGAATTTGGGTACACTAGGGTCTTGGATCACTGACCTGGACTTTGTTTTCAGGGAGCTGTCACTGTAAGACGTCTTGTTGCCCTTACGACTGGACCTGCGCTTGGTGTTTGAAGGAGTCCTGTAGGAGCCATTTTCTTGGAGATGATACTGATCACTGCGACGCCGGCCCTTTGGCTGGTTGAAGCTTGGTCCATCTGGTTTGATGTAATCACCGAGTGTGGCGTGCTCCTCTTTTTTGTGAAAGGATGAGGAACTCTTTTTTGTTCTTCCCTTGCATTCATCAAGAGGTGTCTTAAGATAAAAATGACCTCCTTGGTGCCAGGAATGTTCTTCTGTTGCTATCCTCAGTGGACTCTCTTCCTCTGAGCACAGCGGCTTTTGAGTCAATGTCCCCTCCGAGGCTTCCGACCTCAGTGGGCTGGGGCTAAAAAGTTGGGTCCTATTTAGTCGACGCTGTGTGTCCCTGCCACTGCACTCTTGTCGCTGTGGTCCCTCAGCAGGGTTCTGATGCTGCTGGCTTAATCGCCAAAACTTCTGGGCACTGGCCGGAGTCTTGACTGGAGAAGCAGCTGAGCTCGCCCCATGGCAGATGAGATGCGAAGTCTGCTCTCGCAGATAATTGATGAAAAATGGCAGGAAATCAGCTCGAAGGGAATGGTCACGAAAGACTTCATTTTCTGTTTCAAACTGATAAAGATTGAAAGAATAAATCTATGTTAACACTTTCACTTTTCTGGAGTTGGGGGTTTGTGTGGTAATAAGCAAATTGAGCTTAACCGACTTAAAAAGTCCCTGACAGTCATTAATGTTACGTAGAATCACTAGGTAATCCTTTTCTGACTGTTTTGTGGTGATTATTCACCAAAACAAATGCATATGACTTCCGTGTAATTGGACAGCATCTTCATTACATATTGACTAACATCAAGGGTCTCAATGCATCCTCCCATGGAAACTTTATTACAGAAATTTCATTTAACACTACTGTGTGCCTTTAGTCCAGTACCCAAATGCTACACAATTTGGTAAAGAACTAGTAAACATGTCCTTGGGCAGCATGCTTGTAGAAAATGTATTACAACTCTATACTTCCGTCATAAATATCCTAAATAAACTTCTTGTGTGAAAAATTTACCCATCTGCATAAGTGCAAAATGCATAAAGTCTACTATGGTATACTATCCTCAGGTTCCTTGTTTCACCAGTGACCACTTACAGTAAAATCAACCAGACTCGAAAATAGGTGGCGAAATTAGGGACCTTGGAACTACGTGTATACTGACTGTCATGGACGTAATATGTGTAGCAAATCAATAAATTAAATGAAATTATTATACTAGTCTGGTTCCCAGACCACAGATACTGACTGTTATCCTTTGACATGTTTGATACATTTACATGTATGCTGGGAAACAGTCTAAATTGTAACTTTGCAAGTCTTCGCTCAAGTATGTCAAGCGGCAAGACATGTTCATCTACCCCCAGAACTGTGGGGTCCGAGGAGGTCCGGAGGAGACGTCGGACCCCACAGGTCTGGGGCCCCCCGGGGGTAAAGTTTGTCATGTTTGCATGGTTTGTTTATACCATGCCACGTTTAGGCTATTTACAATGGAGCTGTGACAGGCCTCACGTTAGGCCCCTATGGCTTGTGTTTATATGGAGTTCTTCCCCAGAAATATCCTGCAACCTCTCTATCCCCCATGCGTTAGGCCTATACCCTTTTGCTACATAGGCCTGCATACATCTTGCATCAAATCACACAGTGTGCCCGACTTGCCCAGTATCCGGACAATAGAAAGACTATTTCCGGGTTCCGTAATCATCATTCAGAGACATCTAACTGTCCTCGAGAACAATCAATTCTTTGATTTCAAAATTTTTTAATTGTCTCGTAATTCCAAGAGCGCCTACCACACATTTATTAGAAGATAACCACAAAACCACACTTTGGGAAGAAATCTTCCCAGCAAAGTATTCCTCCAACACGGCGGCCATTTTTAAATTGTGGCAAAAAGTTTTCCTTTTCGATACAAATGCCATAATCCCTTAGATAAGTGTTCGTAATTTAAATCTAAAAATATTCATAAACATTTTCGGTTAAATCAACGGATTAAAAAGGTTTTTCTACATTTTTTAATATTTTACTTGGAGTAAAGGAACTTTAATAGTACAAACGAACATTTTCGCGCCAAAACTTGCAAGCAGTTTAGTTAACCTCGTTTTCACCTTCCTGGTTGTACAATACATGCTTATACATGTACATTGTGGCTTTTCTTCGTAGTTTGTGGGAACAAGGGGCTCATGCGTGCTGACCTTTAAAGTTTAAACGCGGGACGTAAACAAATTCATGCAGATCGGACGCGTTATTTATGTGAACACTCGGCCGCAGATTTTTGTCATAAGTAAAACATGTTGAAAAGAACTTGTCCTTTTGGGGAGTCTTTCCCAAATCAGATGAAAATTCACGTCGGGCTGAAGGAAGTGGCAGAAGGAGTGGACAAAGAGAAACACATGAAAGAAGTTTATGGTAAAAATGTCCCAACCAAACCGATAGCTTGTCATTTCAATCAATGTCACCATCGCCATGAAGTTTATAAACTATAAATGACAGTAAAGTTAGAAATAGGCCCATCCATTTAATTTCATGCCTGTGTGCAGTTTGAAGTGTTTTGTATCAAAATTTAATAAGTGCTGAAGTAGGCCTATTATTGTTTGTTTGTTTTTGTGTCTACTTTGTTCATCAAATATGTCAGACATTAGCTCTACGAAGTGGAGCGTTAGTATTCCTCTCTGATGGTTTTGGACAGGATCGTTAAAGAGTAATACTAACAGACTAACGCTCCACTTAGTAGAGCTAGTCAGACATGTCTCTTGTCAGATAGTGATTATGGTTATGTGCAAATCTTACAAACGCCTAAGGTTACAGACATGCATGAAAATGATGACAGATCATTGTGTGTGGTGTTTTGTGAAAGAAAACAATTGCTCTGTGCAGCAACGACCTCTAATTCTAGTAAATGCCTAGACGTCCAAGACTGATGATGAAAACATTCATGCACACTAAAGCAGTCTGTGATCAGGTGACCTTCTTAATCTTTGTTCTTCCATGGGGCATGCCCAGTATGATTTCGTAGACAAAAAACGAGGACATGTAGAATGATGTGCGTCATATTTATGCTCAGAATGTGTAGAGTATGTATTTATGCATCCTGAGCATAGTATGCATATGACACATGTTGTTCTGCAAGTCCTTCTTTTCCATCTACTGTATGATTTTGTATTTCATTTTTTCTCCAAAGTTTGATGAGGTAGAAATAAAAAAGCACTTTTCAACTATTGGTCTAAGTTTAACAGTTTAAGATTCTAATCGCACATTTTTAACAACTTTGGTGTACTGAGCACGTTGAGGGTGATCAGTCGATCAGCATGATTGCCCGATATTAGCACTGCACTATCAGTTAGTCTTGTGTGTGATCTCTCACCATGCTGACTTTACATCCCTAGTAATTTTTGAAACAAACTTGGGGTTCGAATCCAGCTCATTGTATATTGTGACGTTGGGCAAGTCACTTCATTCCCACTTGCCTCATTTCGGATATGAATTTGTACCTGTTAGGGAAGAGATGGTTGTTGTGTTTGATATAACCGAAATTAGCCGTATACATGTAGGTCTACTCCCAAAAGAACTAAACTGGTTTAAAAATGTTCACAGGCACAGTGAGCAGGGGTACTGATGATGTAGTACCTTCAAGCACCAGTAATGGTGGATATATGTGCACTGTATGAATATCCATTATGTGCACCAGTAGTGCGCAGCAGTGACAGCACTGTCTTGCAAAACTTAAACCACAGCAACAAATACCCAATTCAGACTTGGCCTGACAATGACATCAGAGTTGTCAACCACGGAACGATACAGCTGAGTTGTAATGTGAACTGCATTATACATATGATATCTACCCAGATTGTGTTTCAAGCTTTAACCCTAACCTCACAAAGTACTACGAATCACTAGTTGTAGTAAAATGTAGTATTCAGTCCTGTTGCTTTTAAGAAGACATGACGTTATTGTTCTCTGAAGCCATATGTTACAGTAGAAAAGACAATGTACCATACAGTGCTGTGGCACTGTGAATGTATGGCTTTACTTATCTTTGTACAAGGCTTCAGGCTCAGACTACTACTTAGTATTTTGTAGTACTGTGTAGTGTAAGCCAAACAATATGCTTGGCGGTTAGGGTTAAAGCTGAAACTAGTCCATTCGTAATGCAATCACTTGGGAATATTTAATAGGCTAGAGTAGCATACATGTATACAAGTATGAAGTACAGTTTTCATCCAGTTTGTCTTTCTTATATATACATATACATGTATGCCTAATTTCACATGAACATAATGTTAGTGAAACATTTCACAGAAAATCTGTGAAATGTTGTGTGCACAGGAATAGGCACCTGTTCCATTTTTTTAAAAGTTGGTATTTTTTTAGGCTTTGGCAAAGTTACGTTCCATGTTAAACCCTGCATAAGGCACTGTTCTATCCCAACACACTGCCATTTTTACACTGAAAGCAAATGCACATCTGCAAGACTGTAAATTCACAAGTGGAGCAGTTGCCAGTGCTGATTTTCACATGTTTAAATGCATGTACACGCTTTACATTAAGTTTCCCGGTCCTTTTCAATCATTGGGGGCTGTTTCCAGGATGGCGTGCCTAACAAGGACTCTCGATAAACAAAGTTTCACTAAAATTGCTGTATTTTGGTACATCGGTGTTACTGTTTTTGCTGTCTGCACATATGATACTGTTGGTCTTCTTTTTTTATATAAAGCGTGCAAAGGCCCCTTTACCATCTTTATTGCACGTCAAGTTTGCTTGAAGGTACTAATAAATTTGTTATCACACTCATGCTAGTGGAACATGGAATAATGCAGTACGTCTGTGTCCTGTATTGCACTTGGCCTTTGGCCTAGTGGTATACGGGAGACGCTCGTCTGATAGCACGCGTGTGATAACTAATAATGTATCCACTGTCGCTTCACAGAGAAAACTCTGGCCATGATGTTTGCAGCCCAGAGGCAAGCCAATGAACTCAACAAGGCTCAGGCTGCAGATGGCCATCACCTTGACAACGGTAGCATGGACAGCAAAGAAGCAGATGGTTGCCATGACAATGGGTGCAACACTCCCCACATGGATCTGTTGCCTGGTCAGTGTTTCTTGGATGAGCATGGGCAGATCGTCATTGGGAAGACTGTCGCAACCAAGTCGAAGGAAGGTGAGTGAAATTTTGAGTCCTTGTTTGCATATTACTACTTTCCAAGAGTCTTTCTGTGCATGTTTCTTTCAACCTGCCTGCAAAACACCATTTTGAGGTGTTCTTCAAATGAGGATGGTCCAGTCTCCTCAAAGCCAACAGTCATCAGGATCCCATAGTCCTCTGTACTGATGATGCCACGCTGTCTTTATATGAGCACTTTTCTAAGAAGCCAGTGGTGCCCATGGTCCACTGAACACTATGGGGAAGCACATGGAAACCCTGGCATCATCAGTACAGAGGCCTGTTTCACAGAGCTGTTCACCATAAAAATTGGAGCAGCCAAGGAAATATGTTTCTTGAAGAGGCAATATAGAGGCAGGTACCTGCCAAAACATTTGGCACTCTGTATGTGTAAACTCCCTGTGACTGGTTCCCATCTAATCTTTTCTTTATAGCATAATTTATTAATTCACTGGCAGTGTTTTTTCATGCAGAAAATCTATGAAATTGAAAACCAAAAGCATAACGAGTGGAGTTTTCCACTTATTCAGGTACTTTGAGATCCCCTTTCCCATAAAAAAAATGCCTTGTGCAATAGTTGGACACCATTGCCATCTCGATGCCAACACAAGACCTAGTAAAATGGATTTTAACATGCAGATATTGGGCCACTGTGCAGTCTGTCCAGTCAAAAGTGTGAATGTACAGTTTGTCAGCCCCACAGAATGCCACTATCAGATAGCAAAATGCTCACACAGTCCTTTGGCCCTTGATCCCAACATGCCTCCTAATTCAAAAACAGCTACAAGGACTCAAGTTCAGTCACAAAAACATTTATATTTCCATTTACTTTTCAGGCTAACAAAAGGAAGTCAAGCATAGGCAGTACATTGCAGGGCAGAGTGAAATCTGGAGCACTAATATTGATTCTTTTCATGGGTGATCAGTTTTGTTTGTGTTGACTAACCTACACATGTACATACACCTGTGCCCCCCATGGCCCATCCCACTCAAACACATATCCCACATCTCCTGCACACAGCAGACGCAGCACCATCAAGATGTTGCGCCTGCCACAAGCCCACGGCTCCTGTGGCAGTGGCCCGCTGTTACGCCTGCCAAGATCCAATGTGCCCGGCCTGCTTGAGACGTTGTCTCCAGTGTGAGAATGGTTTCTGCAACATGTGCTCGCTAATCAAGTGAGTTAAACTTGTATTTAAACTTGAGTCTGGTATCACTTCAAAGAAAGACGATTTCCTCATGAAGTGATGACAACAACAGTATGAACCAAGGCCCTGATTTTTTTTTTGTTATAAAAGAAGGCAAAAGTGTGAAGAAAATGTTGATCTTCTAAGCCACAGTTTGTCTTCAAAAAGAACTTAGTCCCCCTTGTGTATTCCTCTATCTTTGGGGATTCCATGGATCTAACCACTGAATTTTTGTGCCATTTTTCTTTCTTTTCCTTCAGTTATGATGAAAATTGGGATAGGATCTTTTGCCTGAGCTGTTCCTCACGAATGGAATGAGCCAGCTTGCGATGCCCTTCTCCTCACACATTACAGATGAAGGAATTTGGTGGAATTCCACTACAGCATGAATGAAGCGAGTTCAGCATCCAGATATTATGTACTTAAGATGAGCCCCATCACAGGTCATTTGAGAGCATTAATACATGTATCCATATGCATAAGGTCAGCCCTAACGAGGCCAACAGATCCTATTTGATTGTGTTCCCCAAAGTGTCTCATATTCAGTGTAATCTGGTAGATAGTGGGGTGCCAGGCTATTTGGAGTACTACTTCACTTTGTTTTTTAAATGTGGTGTGAAAAAATTTCGATACTATTTATTACCAAGTTGAAGCTGTTCTAAATATAAGCTAGCATGAATTTGTAATGCACTTTTATTTTGTCACCATTATTTTTACTCTCAGGATACCAAAATAAAATTAACGTCACTCTCAAATCCATGCGGTCAACACACGAATACAGTCTTCTCACAAGCACTGAATATGTTCAGACCGTTGTTACCTTACGTGCTTCACTCACTCTCAAATGACCTTGTAATATTTGAAATACTGAACAGGCTCTTTCTGACAGGTATGATGATGGATGCAGAATTTTCGGAGTTCTCATCACACGCAGCGAAGATGTTCATGCTTCACCTTACTGTACTTTTTGTTCCCTGTATCACACATCTCTCATTGTCGGAGGTCCTGCTTGAAATGAAAATGGTGCTATGTCTGGTCAGTGAGCAAGGAGATACAGTTCTTGTCAACCCAGCGCCACTTACGAAATAAAAAATCGTGAATTAAATACAAAATCCAAAAGGATGGAATAAAGACCAAAATACATACATCTGGAACTTTATTCACCATTTACACTTACCTACACATTTGTAGGCACTTCTTGTATATTTCGATTACTATGTTTCTGTACTATGAATATATGGTTGTTATATAGTTTGTATAGTATTGAAAATAAAAACGGTTAATTTGTTATGTTAGATTTCCAGTGTGCAACTATCATCAGTATCTATCAATTTCAGTTAACCTTTTCTTATATTTATCATTCTCTGAATATAATAAAAAAAAGTTGTTGCTCCCCTAAAACCTAAATCACGTCTTAATACTGTCCTTTTTTTTCAGTATGCAAAAAGGGGGCTTGTGACCATGGATATCCACACAGACATTATGGACCTGTTTCACACTGAACTGGATCTCAATCAGGGATCCCAAAGCTGGTTCACACTATCCATCAGGTGGGTTCTGGCATCAGTGAATCACCATCAGATTACCGATGGTGATCCACACCCATGTGAAACAAACAGGTCCCATATAAATAGTCAGGACTGACAATGCCCTTGATCGGTCTACACGGGTCATTGAAGTCACTGGCGGTCATCTGATTGTGCCAAATACAAAGCTAATACAGAAGGTGGCTCACTGTTTATTATGCAATACCTGCAAAATCCCTGTCGTCTGATTGGTGAATTGTTGATCACGTCATTGAATTATTCTAGTCAACGGGTTACACAGAACTTCATTTCACTTGCCTTGAAATACATGTATTTCATTCATAGAAAGAAAGAGGAAAATAATGCAGGATGGGAACAATCTAACCACACTCCCAGTGGGTGGTGCTTCAGACGCAAATTTGTTTTGCAAATAAACGGATGTAATACATGAGGATCGTTCAATTTTTTTTTCCGAACAGAAGAGGACTTATGCAGGTATTGTATAAATAAAGTTTCACATTCTTGCAATAGTAAGAATGATTTTGTTCAATGAGAGATGACATTGTTCCATTACACAGCTTTGCCTCGTGGAATAGAATATTTCCATCACCTCATGAAATCATTCGTACCACTCCACTCGTGAACATTCACTATTTGTACACAGATCACTGCAAGTCCAGACGTGTTTTATACAACACCCATGCCAGTATGGTGTCACAATTTTGCAGCCACAAAGGTGCATAAGTACTGTTACATGACGGTGTTCTGAACTTGCACAATAACTATCATTACCTGGTATCCCTCTGTATGTAAATTCATCATGCTGGGATTGAAAGTTAGCTGCAATCCCCTCCCAAATGAGGACTTTTCTGTATCAGCTGAGCAGGTGACTGTGGGTAATGTGACCGAAAACGACTGTTTTCCATTGGTCATTTAAAAAAAAACCAGACTGTACATACCGGTAAAGGATATCATGTGCTCATCGCCACTGAGCTGTTTACATCTTACACTTATGAGAAAACCCTAATCTGTATTCACTGAAACTAAAACATGGTCCAGCTCAAAAATGCTGAGCTTGAATGCTTTTGTGGGGTACGGCATGCCACCACCAGACTGGGTTGTAAATATGACTGAATTGCGTTACTGTGGCAAGAAACTGTCCTAACCTGTGCACTAAATTACCATTGTCTGAAGCTGAGAGAGAGAAAAACACTGATTGTGTGACCAGCATGGTCAGTCAGACGACTAGACACGCCAGTAAATAGCCCAGTTGGTACATGTACCAAGGTGTATGTATGGTGGTTAGGCAGGTAGCCAATGAGTTGCATGATACTATGCCAGTTAAGGCATGAAAGGGGAGGTGACAACAGTGGCTGTTTTTGCTTGCTAAGAAACAGGTGAATAGCCTTAGTCAAGGCCAGTATACTAAGGGCTTTTTCTTTTTAATCCGGTGATGCCCAATTAAAAATCTCTCAGTGACGGCCAAGATGTAGCGTCATTACATTCAAGGCCGCAGCCTGATATGATTAAATGCTTTCTTACACAGTCCTGATATTCAAGACTGACTGAACTAAAGATGAAAGACTGATTCTAATTGTATACATATATAAACAAGCACATCTATATCTTTGATTTGAAGGTAGATGAAATGAAATATTTTCAAAAAAAAAATTATTTTAAAATTTATGCCTTTCTATATCCACATAAAAATGAACTCTATGATGTTTGACACATTCTGTCAAGAAAACCCTTTTGCACATGCTTGTACAGAACTAAACCATTTCAAACTATTTAAAGTTACTCCAAAGCTGAAAACACTTGCACAATTACACTGTGTGGCAAAGATTGGGGCAGAAACATAAGGAATGGTTTCTATGTTGTGAATCTTTAGAATTTGTCATAGTGTTCAAATTTTTACTAGGTCTTCTTTTCTTTTGTGCTTATGTTTTTTCTGTAACTGAAAGATGTTTATTTTACTCTGTAAATATTTGGGAAACATTTTAGCTACCATTAGTGTCACTACTTTCCCTATACACTAACTGCAGATCCACATACTGCCAATAGTGTCGCTGGTTCCCCAAACCAGTAACTGCAGATCCACATACTGCCAATAGTGTCACTGGTTCCCCAAACCAGTAACTGCAGATCCACATACTGCCAATAGTGTCACTGGTTCCCCAAACCAGTAACTGCAGATCCACATACTGCCAATAGTGTCACTGGTTCCCCAAACCAGTAACTGCAGATCCACATACTGCCAATAGTGTCGCTGGTTCCCCAAACCAGTAACTGCAGATCCACATACTGCCAATAGTGTCGCTGGTTCCCCAAACCAGTAACTGCAGATCCACATATCGCCAATAGTGTCACTGGTTCCCCAAACCAGTAACTGCAGATCCACATATCCCTGTTAGTGTCACTGGTTCCTGTACACAGCAACTACAGATCCACATAGTGTGACTCCCCGTCTATCTTGATAACTGCCAGAATTATCACAAGGCTTACACATGGAAACGAGAACAATATGGCAATGACAATTCAGTAGAATAGCTTGACCTGACAAATGGGTCCAAATGTGACGGGGAATGGTCATCATAGCAGTCCGTCTGACAATGCATGTCACTAAACAGGAAAAGCTAGTCCGCTTATGAAACCCTGACTTACAGCTGCACACAAATTCACCCCAGTGACGTATTTCAGACTTAAATATAAATGTTAAACGAAGCTACCCCCCAGGGCAAGTGTTTGTAACTTTCCGTTTTTATACAACTATCACTGTTTCCAAATGACACAATGTAAACACCCATGAGCATGGTGCTACCACAGGTACACAGCCTATTCGTATAAGCATGCCAGTAGCTGGTTCCCACAACACATGCACGCATTTATTTCTTCTTGATGATGTCATCTGACTTGATGCCATAATACTGGTCACTGATGGACTTGGGCACCGACCGGGTCTTTGCTGCAAAACTGCCCTTGGATTTGGCTGGCTTGAAGGCCTGAAGAGAAACCAAAATAACATAACACCTCTTGATAAATGTCAAATATAATGAGGAATATCAAGTCACAAATATTTCATATGGTGCATGAACACTGTACTGTTGGCCAGCTTTCTGGCATACTCTGTGGGAGTTTTTGACCTATGCGTGGATCACTCCGTGCACATCTGGTAAACTCTCTACATCTGGTAAAATAGCTAAAATGTCGACAGACACATGATGGCCAACGGGTCAGTGAGACTTTTGCTGTCTATCATAAATATTTTCTACTATCTATCTTTACTTTCTGTATCTAGACCCAACTAGAGAGACAAATATCAGCAGGCAACACCTCTGTGTTTGACTTGTTAACCCTCGTCTTGCTTGGCTCACTGCGGCTGACCTTACCTGAAGGTTTGCTTTCTTGGACTTGCTGACTTTTGTATGAGCCATATCTAAGGAGGCTCCTAACAAGGCTGAAGTTGCCTGTTAAAAAAGAATAACAGAATACATCATTATTATCCGTATCAAGCAGTGACAACAACTTCCAAGGATTATGGACTTTCATTTGTCACCTTCAATGTGATAAATGCCATTATTCTTAAACTAGAGACCTGTCCCACCAAGCTTTTTGAAGAAGTGTGCCTTATGCTGATTATAAATGAATTGTAAACCAAACTTGACTTGTCCACATCCTTACACAACACAGTCTTGGTTCAAAGACCTTCGCATTCCTCCTTTTAGCAGAAAAAAGGTCTTAGACATTTGTTCGGCAGAGCTTATGTTTTTCTTTGTTTCCCCCTGACTTTCCGGTAGAGCCAATCAACAGCTTTGTTTGAGCCTTATATTGAATTATTCATTATAAGTTCATGAAGTCAATCAACCAAGAATTGAAAACAAAAGTGGCGTCCTGATCTGAAAATCCAAAAATTTCTGCATAAAATGCTGCGCTTAGGTGGTTGTGACATGTCTTTAAAACACACCAAAAGATCATTTGTCAACAACTACCCGTATTCAGCTATTTTTTGAGCATTCATCCTGTACATTTCCAGCCTGGGGAGAAATGGGCCAGATTCACAGTGCTAAAGCAAGTGCTAAAGTACGGTTTTGATGGTCTGAAAGGGGTCTTGACTAAAATACAGGAGCACGAGGATCTGACTTTCTGTTCCTGGCAGGTAGGGCTACAGTACTGTGTTTGCTGGCAAGGAGGCTTAAAAGAATATGATTGACGTTGAACATCCCAGCACCCCAGGGCTACTTCAGAGAGAGACTGAATAACACCAAGCACAGAACAACCAATCTGGTTGCTGGTTATACCCTTTGTTGCAGCACTTCGTCAAAGTCTGATGCAGCAGCCAAGTAATTGGCAGCAGATTCTCTCTGATCATCACTGGTGGTTTGTCGCGTCAAGAAGCGAGAATTGGAGTACCTAACAATGGAGAGAAACATTGAACAGTCTCGGTGAGTGGTAACATTTCAGCCTGGAAAAAAAAACTCAAGGACAGAGTGCCACAGTTTGTGGGGGTTAACTAATGTACAGACTTGGCACACAATAATGCAAAGCTTAACTGGCTAGAAGACTGGCCACGTCTAATTTGGCTATGTACGGCTCAAAATGGTATATCTATTGAAACTCCCTAGTACCAGCTAGCTGCTTCGTGCATTCTCCGTTGACATAGGCTCTTTTAAGCCACAGCTAAGTGACTTACACCAGCCATACTTCAGCCTCACTGCTGCCATGAAACCTGTGCTAAAGTACATTTCTGTCTCTCACAAGCACTATAAGTCATTGCATGCCATGTGCTATAGCATTATACGCATGCAAAACGGTATCCCGTCCCTCTTCACGACAGGCTCTTGAGGGAAGGCTACAAGTGAGCAAAGACTTTTCTGTGACAGTCTGAATTCAGGTTTGAGAGCGAGGTGCCCACGGTGTTCAAGTGTTGCACTTTACATCATATTATCTCCTCTCAATAGGCCCATTCATCCATTTCAGTTCCCTGAAAATGCCATAATCAAGCCATTTCAAATTTGGCAGATCTGCTCAGCATTGCAATTGGCTAAGCACAGCCATTACCTGCTGAGCAATGTCTGATCACAGGTCAAAATAGTGGGCCATTTATGCAAAGTTTGAGTGGCTCTCACCAGATGTGAAGCCACTGCAAACTGAAAATTTTCACTGTAGACACTCCTCCCTAAAGACCACCGCAAGACCAGCACAAGACCTGCTCTCTGAATTCAAGTTGCAAGCCTTTCAAATGAACTGCAACAAAAAGTATTCCTTGATCACTGGTCAGCTTGTTACTTGCAAGTGACTGGTCTTTGAATTGGTCTTGTGATGGTCTGGCCAAAAAACACTGGAAATCAGGTCCCAGCTTAGAGTTGAAGGGTTATTGCTTTGACACTTGTTAAAAGAGGTCCCCTCTGAATTTTCCTGTGTCTGGCTAGAGTCGGCAAGTAACACCAGTGCCTCTGGAGGTCACTGCCCAGCTAGCAGCAGTCACTTTCCACAATTAAACACACGTACTGCTCCCGGTTACAGCCCAAGCAAAACTGGATGAATCATGTCGGCCCTTGATCTTAAGAAGAAGCACCAGTTCCTGAGAAAGCTGAGTAATGAATGTCACTCACAAGTGAAGCCGTGCTTTCTCAGTCTGGTTCTGCTCGGCGTACAGCGCTGCCTGACGCATAGCAGCTACGGAGGTGACAGCAGCATTCAAATTCTGCAAAGAGTGACAAGGAAATACTTGTTATGTAATACAAACAAGGTAAATCTATTATTATACATGACTTTGTGACTCGATGAGATCTCGCAAGATTAAAATGAACCAAGAAGGATATACACAATGACAATGTTTTTGAAATCCTAGCAAACTTTATTTGATAAGATGACCTCAGTCAACTCTGATTAAATCGATTCTTGTTTAACTCTTTCAACATTTACTTCTGTTTCCAACTATTTAAGTGATAGAATACCTCAAATATGTATGAAACAAAAAGTGTAAGAGACTACATATCGCTTTCTCTAAAGAACATCCAACATAAAATGAGTACATTGAGCAGGAAAGCATTCCATGTACATGCCTGTTCCATCTGGTCTCTGTCAGTAGTGGTCTCTCGCTCCTCTGTGACAATACGCAAGAAACGACGTCCGTCTGATTTGGTGTACTTGATCTGGACCTGTGGAACCCAAGAAAATATTAGCGGAAGAAACACAACATTCAAGATGTCATTTCCAAATTTTTGGAACCTTCACGACCAACCATGATTTTTTTTTTAAATGGGATGATAGTTGGGGGTAAGTCTTACCTGGAACGGTAGTTTGGTCAGTTCCGAGTCACTGATTTCTGGCCGCAGCTGGAAGCCAAAGGTCAGGTCAGTAGACTGTTGAACGTTGCCATAGTTCTTCACAATCTTACTCTTTCCCTCAGCCTGCAAGCAATGTACACAGATTGTCAAATCTAGTTAAAATATTCCCCTCAATGAACACTATTCACTCTAAGAACTGTGCATGCCACAGAGATTCCCTCCAAGGAACATACTTATGTCATTAGTGGGCCGAGCACAAATTCAAAAAATTTCTGACGCTGTTGATATCTAGACATTTGCTTGCTGTCAGTGTCCAAAAACCTTTGAGAACAAGATGCTCTCTACCATTAAGACTAACCTGTTTTCCTTCGGTCTCAGGGTCAAACTGCAGGGTCGGGTGGAGCATGAGGGTGACCTCCACGTTGGTAGCCACCACCTTATCCTGTCCCAGCTGGCGGATCTGTCGGGTCAGTTCGTGGGGGTTCAGGATGTTGACTGTCCCCGACGAGATGGAGACGCACTTGCTGACTTGCTCAAAGGCACAGTGGTTGTCGGTCTGGATACCGATGATGGAGATGGTTGTCTGCTGCTCTTCGGCAATGCGGCCCGCCTGGGGACAGGAACATCAAACATCTCAAGTTTTCAGGACGGTTATTAAAAACACAGTGATTCACCACCGAGGATCACAATGAATTCTGTGCACAAGCATCCTCCACAACAGTGGCACAGAGACATATGACAGACAAATGAACCCTTGCTGACACTGTGAGCCTGTGTCCTGGTGAAGAGTGGCTTGTGTACATTAAGATGAAAAAAAGTCACATGTTCTTCACACCAAGCAGTCACGAGCACACACTGTGTCTGTAACAGTTGACACCATTCTTCAATACAGACCAAATCTCTTTCATCTTCAAAATTGTTCAATCTCCACTCTCACATCAAGGCAACACTCACTTCACTGTAGAACTCCGAGTCGTAGCGATTGCCCTGCAGCGAGCCCACTCCCTCGTTGGGCATGCCGTCGGTGCATAGCACGATCTCCGAGCCCGGCTGTTTGGCAAGGAGTCCCAGGCTTACGGCTAAGGCTGGGCCGAGGGCTGTGGAACCACCTTCATTCAGTCCTTCTACTTTGGCCTTCAGAAAGCTGTTGCAGTAAAACAAGCAAACCTCCATTAAAAATATCCCCCTTTTACGATGCGTTCTCATACTCTGGTTCTTTTTCATCTAATAATCTAAAACGTGTGAAGAAAAGGGCAATTTTATTCGCTAATGTCAACGGCACATTTCCATTTTTTGAAGCTTGCTTCCTACCAAAGAATGCTAAATGGAACAGACATTTAAAACTAAATCTATATTAATGAATAAACCTTTGTTTCAAACACATACATTTTCACCTTCACAACACAACAGAATTTTTTGAAATCCAAACATCTTGAGTTTGTCAAACTATGTTTGGGACCGGGAAGGGGGCAAGACTGGGTAGCATTTCAACTTCCAATAGTGACAATCAATCCTACCAAACTCGCCTCCCCCCCCACAACCAGTTCCCAATCTCCATCTCACCTTGATGATTCACTCAGCTGCCTCACGTTGAACTGCGCCGCTAACTCCTGTCCCTCCCTCAGCAGGACGGCTGTCTCTTTCAGCTTCTGGCCTGTGATGGTGGTCGGTACCTGGCTGCCATCGCCGTACACCGTCACGTCATGGCTGAAGGTCACCAGCATGATCTTCTTGTCGGGGTGCTCCAGTTCATAGCGCTCTAGCTGTCTGTAGGGGGGAGGGGCGGAGTAATATGAACAACGAACCGCTGTTTAAGCCATAGAGTATGAATTGAATACGCAGACCTGCCAACCTCTTGAATCACAAAACTGTATTCTGAGAATTCAAGTGTCGTATTTTTCATTTAAAATCTTATTTTGCAAAAAATGAGCACAGACGTATTCCTCCATGTGACCGTTTTGACCATTTGCCCTGGATTGGGTATAGTTCTGAGCAACTCGGACTAGATTGTATAAACACTTCTTCACGCATAATATAATCACATGAGAAATGCATCATCGAAGTTGAAGAGTGAAATGGCTCTATTCTCACCTGAACTGATCACGTTTTCAAAATATGAAATCTTGAAATGCACATTGTAAGTCCAGGCTATGGGAATTTCCTGGCACGGATTTTGTCGTCTGCTCACTGGCTGGCCACAAAAATTTAATGTCTCCATCCTTTATTTCCGCAGATTTTTAACTTGAGGATCGGTCTTGTCAAAGATTGCATCCAAATCGGACCCGTTACAGGTGTTGCATTAACATGTTAATGAGTATATGTCTAAAAATTGTATGAAATCTTGTAAAAAACGATGCACTTAGAACCTGTAAAAGCCGTGCAATAATGTACGACACAATTTCCTTTGCCCCGCACCAGTTGCCATGAGGCCCTCTATTGCGGTGAAAGCAGAAAAATTAGTAACCTTATTTCAAGCCGCATCTTTACAGTGGCCATGAAACATGCACTACATCAACTGTCAATTCTTCGACTGGCTCACAAGCAGCTTTAAAGAGTCCCACTAATGCAACATGAACATTGATTTTACATGGGTAGCCAATCACAACACAATGTCGGGTGGTTGCCGGATGCTGTTTACACACGACATTTGTACATGTGCGTGCATATCCTGTACGCAAATACATGTGCAAACATTCGAAGCTGTATATTTCTGGCATAACATGCACACGCAACCGTTGAACTACAATTTTTTTTAGGTATGTCAATATCCTCAAAACCCGTATTTTATGGGGGAGAAAATGTATAGCAGTATTTTCAAGAATTTCCCTTAGGAAATATGGCTAAATCGTACTAGTTGGCAGGTCTGGAATACGGCTTGCACAATCATGTGTGTAAAAAGCATTAGCTTGAGAACCCGCACATGAACCAACACCTGCACGTACTCCACTCGTTAGCACTACACTTTCTGGTTAAAATGAGTCACATTTCAGCATTCTGTAAGCATCAAATGTTCTTGATGAAACATAAAATGCGAGACTCCTGATACAACGACAACAGACGGCAGTGTTAAACCTTCGTGCATGACTCAACAATGAAGACTTTTCTCTGATGGCACGTGCAACAACAGCCGCGCACCACAGTACTTAACCCCTTCACGGTGGTATTATTTGCACCGCGACTATTGGGCTGTGGTATGCCCAGTATACAAAGCTCTGTCCAGCAGCTGGGCCCATTGAACCACCAGCTGCATGGTGAATAGATTGTATGTGTGGTATGCAGTAATTCTCACACAAAGGTGTGGCACTAGCAGTCCTCCATAGTGAAGGGGTTAATACCAGTGGAAAAATTTCTGGACGATTCTCATTCCATGTCATTGGCATGTTCACAGCTATATTAACAAACCCATTGTGCGGGTATGGTAAAAGTGCACAGTATTTTTCTCATGCTAACAAGGGCCAATATTGCACATCTCACAGCAAACCAAAAAATTGACACTCTCGACACAAAAATGACACGACACACACTATAAAGGGTGAAAAAAGCTGGGCTGAATGACTCCCCAGAATTTCAACTATGTTGTAATGTTTTAACCTGCACTGCACTAACCTACAGATCTAGCATCCTACCTCTTGACTGCCATTTTCATGCATTCCAGCCTCGTCACGTACATAGGCCCACCCTGGCCTTGTCCCTGCAATGCCATCCATTCAGCTGAGAAATAACAAAAGAGATCAGACATTAAACTCCAGCTACAGAACAACCGCATGTGCAAAAGGACTATCTAACCTCAATTTTGTTTGGTCGCAAGGCCAGGCAAACTCTTGAGACAATTCTTGACAATTACCATGTAATGTGCAACTGGCCTACAGACAATTTCAACAAACACTGCAAGGAATTTTAGCCATGTGTAAGACATCCTGACAAACTACTGCACAGCTGTATAATGTTCCAAGAAGTGCATTAGGTTTCAAAAGCTTTCAAAATATTTTGAACAACCCAACGGCCCGCTTTTGCAATCTCACAGCAGTCACAAACGGTCAGAACTTACAAAATGCACAACAGATGTGGACAACTCCAGACTGCTCTACCAAATGACTTAGAAAAAACCTTTCCACCGGCAGCATTGGCACGAGCATACAACGAATATGGACAGAATGAGCACTTACACTGCAGAGCTGAGATCTGGGTAGTGGCCGCCATGGATCCACTGATATCAATGCAATACACCAAGGTACCAGTGACTTTGAGCTGGCTAGCTCCATCAGCATCGCCCTCGGCAGCCTTCTCTGGCGCTGCCTCCAGCAGGTAGTCCACACTCTTCTCTTTCGGAATCTGGAAGGGGGTTGGGGCAGATAGGTTCTTTGGTAAATGGAGTTAAGCACTGTAGGCTTATGGCACCCTGTGCCATGCTCGCAAGCATGGAAGAAAAACAATTGCACACCTTCAGCAATTTTTTTTTTTACTTAATACATTCATTAATTTTATGTCTTTGTGTGAAAATTCACCTGAGCATTCCCCTCTTTAATTTTTCAAAGCTTGCCCGCATTTGAGAGTGTTTGTCAACTTAGTTAAACAGAGATTGTATGTGTAGTGCAGCATGTGGGAATATTAACCCTAACATTCCTCAATCCTTCACCTGTTGGAGGATTGAGGACTGTTAGGGTTAAAGATTCTGGAGCCACTGGTTGCAGCATCCCAATCAAGCTTGAGATTTGGATTTTGCAAACTCTAACCATTAAGCACATGCCATCAACAAAGATGGATCACAAATACTAATCCCGACTGTAAATTATTGTCAAATGCTTTGAGTTGGACAAGTCCAGCCTTGAAAAGCATTTGCCACAAGGACCTTTTCCAACAGCCATGCAGCTCGCAGAAATTTGTTAGCCTGATTTCGCCGACTTTATCGGAGGCAGAATCCTTACCTCCTCTTCGACGATATCCAGTCCCTCGTTGACACGACTGCAAAACTCACTGTAAACGAAAAAAAAGGAAAGTACTGGTATATTTGACAATTGTCAAAAAGAATTCTTAAGGAAGTCATTACGGATGGCATATATGAGTAACATCCACATTAGAAGCTGCAACTGCAGTAGCACCAAGCTCGTGCACAGGTTTCACATACTTCCTCCACCAATAGGGTGTTTGTGTTTGTCAAAAGACAGGGGCGGCTGGGGTGTACCAAGTTCATGAATGCATACCCATGTATCTCTGTCTGATAATAGTCTGTCATGTGTGTGATTTTAGTGTGCATCAAAAGAAATGATCAGATATTTTGGAGGGCATTCATATTTGACAAAAGGTTAACAAACTTAAGCATGGCAGATCTGAGTGCACTTGAACCTGTCTAATTGACATTTCAAACAGCCTACTCAACACATCTTCAGAAAACTAAACTCCACTTAGCCCTAAGGGACCGTTTCATAATTGTTGACTGCAGTACCGCCGCTTTTTTTAGCGGCACCGCACTAGTTACCCGAAAGGGCTTAATGCTGGTACTGCAAAATTACAGCGGTAAATACCGCCTTCTGTAATTATGAAACGTTCCCTAAGCAATCTGACTAGCCGATTCAACTCATAAAAACTCATTCCGCAGAGTTACAAAATGGACTTACTGAAAATAAACTAATAAAATTACATTTTAACAATGTCATTTGGGATAAGAACATCCAAAGCTTCGTTGGCTTCAGCATGTTCAGTTTACATGAAACAAGATATGGCCATATGCTAATAAATCCCTCTCCCACACCCACTAATTATCCCAAATGACCTATGACACACTGTACTGACATTTCCAGTCTACACGCTTAAAAAGGCAATGTCATCCTACGGCATGAAGTACAGGTTTGTAATCCCAACCGACTCTACACGGCCCGATATACCTACCACTTCCACTTTCTTGTGCCGTCTCCTTCTGCTTCAGTGTGATCCAGCTTGGAGATGTGAGAAAGCACTGACTGGCACTCACTGAACAAATCACAACAATAAATAAAAGCTTCATGAGTATCTAATCAGATCTGACTGAAGTCAAACCGATTAAACCCTTGACATCAGCTAACCAGGAAAGCATTATGCACAGCCGACTTCCAAATGTTCTGTGCCGTCAAACAGCTATGACAACCAAGACAGCAAGGCCTACACCCTGGAAAAAAATTACAGTTCGATGATATTTCAAATTTCAAAATGACAATGCAGGGTTAGCTCTAAAGCCACAACCATGGAGGGTATTGCGCGGCTCAGTCCAAAGGACAAAACTGAAGGCACATTATCAAGCCCCATGTCCCAATAGAAACACAATGCGGAATCAATTTCAAATTGCTGAAATCTGAAAAAGACATAGGGATCAATATGGGGTAGCTCATCATGGGCACACGAAACAAAAATTGACAGTTTGTGGCAATATGCAAGTATGTAAATTTTTGAAAGTCAGCCACTGCTGTCGTGTTTTGGTGAATATAATGAATAGATGATTTGAAATTCAAATTATGAACTGACGGTTGGTTTCCACCAAGCCTTGACTCGCTGCGTCTTCCCTGAAAGAGGGCGGAGCTAATAGGGAGGTGGCAATGAGTTGCCTACGACACTCACCCGCAAAGCACCGGGTCCCCGGTCACCACCGTGGGCTCGTTGGCAAGGTTGCCCAAGGGCAGCAGCACAATGTTAGAGTCCGCCTTGCGGTACACCATCTTCTTTTTCTTGGCATTGTGGGCTGCCGGGGCCCTTGACTGCACTCGGGGGAGTGGGGCCGACTGCTGCTGTGCTGGCTGGTGCTGAACATTCTTTCTGTGCGCGCTTCGACGGTTGAAAAAGGAGCCCAAAACACTGCCTGCTTTCTTCACCCGAGGGGGAGGGGGAGGGGGCACTGTAAAAAAAGATCCAAACCATGACAGCAGACGTTGGCCATTCCAGATCAAAGCAGTCACACATTGAAGTGGACAGCTACAGAAGTCTTTGTACATTTATTATCTACTCTGCAATACTGAGATTGATATGTAAAAGATGCAAGATACAAAATGCACCACCACACATCAGGAAAACCACCAAGATCTTTTCAGCATTAGTTTGATTTCACTCCCTGTAGCAAAGCATGGCCCCTCATGCAGAGAGAAATGGCTTTTCAACAGGTTCTCCCTTCTGGTCATCAGCAAAGGCAGGCTGAACTATGAGATTGACCTATGATGGACCGACACTGAGCTGGCCTGCCAACAGTGGAGAGAACTTCAGGGTTTATGTACCATGGGGACTGTCCCATAGGACATCCTCTTGTTCACAGAAGGAGTCAATGTTAGCAGTGGCATACATAATCCACACGTTGTAACACATTTCACTGGGGGCCCACCCACCCCATTACATCAAGGGACGGTGAAACTGTACACTGAATTCGTCCAAATTTTTTCACACTATTAATTTGCCACTTTTAGTTCTGTTCTTGGGCCGCTGAATGTTCAAAACTTCAAAATCTTCATTTGTTTTGTTTTTCACCACTAAAATGTGGGAGATGATGGAACGCCCCATCCCCTTAGGGGGGGAGCAGTCTTCCTATCCCTGCAAAATTAATAGCCCCCCCCCAATGCAGACAAGCCATCGGGACTGCACCTCAGTGAAGCTAAAAAACTTAGCTTGGCTCACCTGATTGAGTTTCCTCAGCCTTCAGCATCTCGGCGGGTATGCCATCCACCACAACTTCCTTCATGTACGTGTCCTCAATGGTGGGGTCGTAGTCTGTCACAAACTGATTGCTGACGAAACGGATGGTAATGGAGGACTTGCCCACCCCGCCAGCTCCTAAAACAACCACCTGAGGAAGTGGCAGGGATCAAAGCAAATTTCGGTGTGTTCAAAACAGTCAAATAGTACTTTGTAGCATTGTAGTGAGTCCACAGATGTGAGAGGAACGTGCAAGTGCAAGATGGGTAATTAGTCAGGTATTTTGGGGGCTTTAAACCTTTCTGAAGCTGTCAGATCCTACACTGTACAGTAACAGACATGCTTACAAACTTGTGTTAACCTCTAATAGTCCTCAATCTTTTCATTTCGTACTTTTTTATTTCACCCAACATGGTTAAAATTCCACTCCAAAGCAACTTGTCACAAACCCTGTGACGACTTAGGGGTGCAGAAATCATGCAGACATCTGATGCATGGCGTTTGAAACCATTTATGAGAAATGACGTTTTTTTCTGTTAGCTGTCAGGCCACAAAGTTTGCTGATTATGGCCTGCAGCCTCTTACCTTGTAACTGACACCAGTCCTCGGCGTGCAGCGAATCAAGGCTTGGAATGCCTCCTTCACATTCTCTCCAGTCTTGGCCGAGGTCTCCATGAATGCCATGTTGTTGTCCCTGGCATACTTCTCAGCTTCGTCAGTCGGTACCTCCCTTACATCGGCCAGGTCGCTTTTGTTACCACAAAGAATCTGGGGCAGAAAAAGAGTCTGCCCATTTAGTAACCACACTTCACATCTCCAAGTTCTAAATCTTAAACCTAGTAGAGTCAAAAAAAAAAAATCAACAGGACGGCGGAGGTAGGTTCAGTGCCTTCAATAGCCTCCTCCCTTAGGTGAAGGTTCTGTGCTTTCTTTGACATTTGGAGGTTGCTTTTTCCCATGTAAAAATTGAAGAATTTCTAGAACATCTAGGCAGTTTTCTCATAAAACTAATGTTGTATCAGATGAATTGTTCAGGTCAATGTGCTCATATAGTGTAGAACTCATATCGTAAACCCGGAGGCCAGATTTTAAAACATGGTGGCAACTTGTTAAACAAGATGGAAGACAAGCAAAAACTTGGTGGGCCGCCATGCAACTCCTACAGATCTGAAAAAAATGCTGACCGTTTTTAATTGTTTTTATACTCTTGGACAGTGTCCATAACAGATTTTGATATTTAAGTACATATACAGATGGATAAATCAGACACGCGGTTTGTTATCCCCTAATAGATGTGGTTGCCAGGCATCAACAAACCCCTTTGGGTACATAGAACACCCCCCTTTTTGGCTCACCAAGTTAAAATTAAAAGGAAAGACAGACTTCGGTCTGTTAAGAATACTAAACTTGATGTTATCTTTTGTGCTACCAGTGGAAACAGAAGGAACAGACGGAACAGAACAAAAGGCCAAAACCAGCAGGAATTTCTTGGTAGATACATACCGAAGGGAGTCTGTCCACACTTCTCAAGCGCAAGGCCCATTTGTAGATTCTGAGTGCCTCCTCAAATGACTTCCGGTCATCGATGGCATACACGATTATGAAGCAATCTCCACTCCGAGCATACTGCAAAATCAAACAAAAAATCTGCATCAGAAGGCAAATTCAAAAATACTGCGCATATCTGACTGAATCCCACCTAGCTGATAGTCATATGAACTGGCAACTTCCTAACTTGCAAAGTTTAGGCTACTGGGTGTATGGGCACCCGTGTCGACACATGGGGAGGCCGTGTGTCATTTTAATAAGGCCCAGCACGCATCTTCGAGTAAACTATCGCATGCTTGTTGCCCGCCGTAAAATGGTTTGCGTAATTCCATTCATCCCAGTGGGACATCGGAATCGAGCCAACAATGCCTCCAGCACTTCTTCAAACATGTCCCCTTGTTCCATCAGATATAAGTTTTTGTCCTCACCATGTCTCTGACTGACGAGTACTCCTCCTGTCCTGCCGTATCCAAAATGTCCAGCATGCATGTCTAAAAATTTATGTAAAAAAAAAACTACTATCAACAACTCACATTCAGTTCCTGCTACGTTCATCCCTCTTAAATTTGCAACTCTGAAAATATTCACCTACGCCACCATTCAAACATTAAATACACACATGTATAAAACCTAACGGACATGTACAGATGGGATAGATACTTTACTAAAATTAAATTCATTAAATCTATGCAGTTATCAGTTTACAGAGAGAGAAAAGCAATGCTTGACAGAATATGTTCGAAAAGCAATTCACTTTCCCAGACATGCCTTTGTTAGAGTAGACTATTCCCCTTGAGCTGAAGTGCACCCCTAAGTGGCAAAAGAAGTGCACCCCCAAGTGGCAAAAGAAGTGCACCCCCAAGTGGCAAAAGAAAGACAGATGGTTGTAAGTTTTTCAAGTGGGTTCATGCACGCGTTCTTTGTGTACGCAAAGACCATACATTCAGGAATAAATTTGTTACGCGTATTCAGTGCACTCCGCGTCAAACGCGCCATTAATCTTTATTATAAACATGCACTTACTGTAAGTGATGAGTACCAAAAAAAAAAAAAAAGCTCTCTGTTGTTCCACTCGGAGCGGATACAGAAAGAGAAAAAAATGCTTTTGTTGTCAATATTTCTGACAACGGAGGTTTATTTTTTCAGGAGGTTCCTGCTTGTGAATTTTGCATCTCCCATGCTTTGCTCAGACAGTTGCAAATAACATCAACGCACTCAGGTGTGCTGTGATTGATTCTGTCAGTGACATGGCCGTCTTTTTTTAATAGTGAGACATCAATGAGCCAGTTCTATATTTCAAAGAGCCAAGACTGCATGTATGTGAGAACGAAGTACCTGATGTCATGCCAGTTTAGACATATTCAATACAACTCCACGCGAGTTTACACACCGCCATACTGATGGGGCTGACCTAACATACCGGCACATTTACTGATGTTCTCAAATGATCTCTGACCAAAGCACTTTATTGTGTGCAGGGACATGTACTTCTAAAATACGAAACTGGCTCATTCCCAATTGTTCAAATACAACCCAAAGTGGCTCATTATAATGGAGACCAATAGTTCCTACTCTCAGTTCTTCCTCCAACTCCTTTCATATCACAACTTTAGCCATTAGCAGGATTGATTCTACGGTACTTCCTGATTTAATTCACAGGTGAATCAGGAATTGCACATTGTACAGGTGCATAAGCTCTGTGAAGATGAGCAGTCATCCAAACTGTTAGCAAGCAAAAGTGCATTGATATCAAAACAGAAAAAACTGGTAGTCCTAGGCACTGTGCGTATGAATGACACCAAAACTCAGATCTTTTCAATGGATCTGGAGTTACTGCTAATGTGGACAGTGGATGCTAGCCACATTGGTCTATTTGCTACATGATCGCTTTTCTGCCCCCTCTCTGAATGTGGAGTTATACAACTCCATTTATTTCATCCTCCCGAGTTCTTTTGACAGAGACAATCAGAATCAAACAGAGTCTACTACATGTACTTGAACTGTTTTCGTGATGCGTTCCCAGTCTGTGCACACGGCATTTGTTGCACGACATATCCACCAGTGAAGGGATTCACACATATACGCAATTCCAGTCCTGAACACTGTCTAACTTTGCTCAACTTCCCCCCCCCCCAAAAAAACTCGGGGAAACTCTATTCTGACCACACTCTGTTGGGACTGTGCTTATTAACCCTTGACCTTTAGCATTCACAGTAGCAGTTGTGCTAGACGGTGGGTTTTTTTTCAGTGTCTTGAATTGGGATGCTATTACATGTACTCAAGAAAAATGCTGAAAATGGTCAGAATTCGGACTAAATCAAACATAGCAAAGAGAACACACACACAAATCTGACCAGAATACATATGTTAATGCATGCAAAGTATTCTCAACATACATGTACGTTACAACATTACTTGGCAGTGGCTGGAAATTAAAACAGCACGTGTCAATGAGAAATGCAAGCTGCTGCTGCATGTAGCTGGCAACTTCCATAGGAACATGTGATATTCTAGTCATAGCCATGTCATTTGGACTTGGCTTGAGAGTAACACTTGAACATGAGCAAAGCTAGCAGAAATTTGTGGCTTCCCATGGGGAGAAATACTGTCCACCGACTGTGCGCTTGTACATGGTGCCTTGTGGGGTACCGGAACAATGGAAGGTACCCCACAAGACCATTTTGATCCTTGTGGGGTACTAAAGTGGTATCTCACAAGAATTTCACGAAATAGATTTTTCAAATTTACTCAAAAAGGAGGAATTTTCAAGTGCCATTCATTTGTTGCAAATTGAAGTGTTTTATATAAGGGATATACGGTTGAAATTTCAACCCAGGAAACTGAATTTGGTTGAAATGGCAGTGATTTGAATTTTTTTTCTGTATTGTGTGGGAGTTTTGTACACGAGGAAATACAACAAAGGAAATATCCCACAAGTTTACATATGTAAGGATGTACATGAGTGTGTGTGGGGGAGGGGTCAGGGGAAGGGGGAGGAGGGGACTTTACCTTTCCATCATCAGCAGAGAGAGGAGAGCATGTCTTGAGTCCAAGGATCAAATCTTCCTCAGTAATCTCCTCATTCTCATCATCGGCCATCTCTTCCTTGTCTTTCTCCTCCTCTTCTCTCTTCCTCTGCTTCTTCATGTACACAAACTTGCCTCCAAACTCCATTCTGAATGCTTGAAGACTTCAACCCTGATGACTGAGGGAAAAGTATTGGCTTGCTTTCTTTGTAATCTTCTTAATGATATAGTTATCCATTTTCAGCCTAAACTCATGTACACGTCAGTTTGAACCAAGCATTTTTAAATAAACATGTACAGGTATTTAACACATCCATGTGTAAAAAGAATGGCAGAAATAAGCACTGAGACCAAACTTACTGGTAACTTTTTAGTTATACATTAGCATGAACTACATTTTTGGCAAAAACAAACGTTGCTTGAAATCGTGGGACTGCAGTATGTAATTGATGTTTTCTTTCTATGATTATGATTTTAACTACAATGTCACTGTCTCTGTAATTAACAGAGTATACACAGAGTAAACATATGTGCATGCTTCTAGGAATAAAAAATTCCAAAAACTAGTAGAAATTTGTGACCAAGGGTAATATATGAATGACAAATGGAGTGGATGCTATTGTTAGGACAACTTCTACCCTGTTCCCTAATGCTCATGTACATGTACATGTACATAACATGAAATTGCATGTACCCACACGTCACGTAATTGGCCATTTAACACGTAGGAATAAATTTGTTGTACGCCATGACTTGAGCGAATAAAAAAACCTTTGACCCTCAGCCCTTCGATCGTTGGAAATGTCAATATCACTTCACAAAGCCCATTCATTTGTGTAAATGAATAAAGCCCACATAATGCAAATGACTTGCAACAACATCCAGAATTCAATTTCCCACACGGCAGAGAAGTATCCACAGGGTTATAATAACATACAACAAAAAACAAACTGGGGTGGCTATTCAACAGTTGGTTTCGTCGGTTTCATCGGTTTCGTCGGGATAGTTTTGGGCGCATCATGAAGTGACATCCCTAGACTTTGTACACATGATACAACAGTTCGTGGTGCAGCAACTGCATTGGACATGCAGGTGATGCAACCAATAATTTGTTTCAGTCTTGAACACTGCATTTTCAATGACAAGAACGATCGAGTCTGGGTGAAAAATACCCATGTCACCCCTCACAACTGGACATCACATCGTATCATATCATAGACAAGTACCCATCCCACAGTCCAAACAATGATGCTCCTTGCAATACACTAGATAACAGTAAAATCTACTGGCAGCAGCCAACAGGCAGTATGATACATGTACCATCATCTGCCGGAATGCTGCAGTTTATCTGTTAAAAGTTCATTTTTCATATACATGTACATGTACGTTTCTTAACATCAATTTGTCTGTTGAGCTTGAAGACACAAGCAGATTTTCCTCCAAAATGGTTGTAAATATAATTTTGAGCAAAACACACCACCAACAAAATCAAATCGATATGGCAACACACTGAGGTCAAGCATCATACATCTTTCAAGGGACTGAATGTTAAACAATTGGGGACCTTCAGCTGAGAAAATTGTTACAAAGAACTCAAGCCATGCATGTGACAAAACATTTACTGACTGCTGTGATGTGGGATATTGTTTAACCACCTTCAGAGAGGCATGGTACCCTTAGATTTACCTCAGCTGCTTTGAGTCCCTCAGGTGTTAAAACATCATGTCCAACATCACAGCAATCAATTTGTAACTGAAACTATAGCACTCAACTTCGTTCATTTGTTGTGTTCTGGCAATGCGGCACTAAAAACCTAACTTCCGAGTTCCTTCTGTCAGTGAACAGGAAGTATTTGCAATGGATAAAAAAAACTAACTTGAATTATCAAAATCAAGTAGCTTTTTCAGAGTCAGCTTCCTCAGAACACATTGCACAACAGGCAAGGATGTTGTGCAACACTACAGGTGAACAAAAAAACCTGTCTTCCCAAGCCTGTGAATTCCACAATGATGTCATCCGTTTCTACAGTACAGTGTATTTATTAGGAAGTCAAACAAACCATGACCTTGCGGTGGTTATAAATACATGTACAGCTCGGCAATGAGTCACCCTGATGTTTTCATACATGTAGCTTGACTGCTGGAAAATTTGACAGCAACATCCACAGGTTTCGAAAGTATTTTTCAATCAAACCATTCAAAATTCTAGACTAGGGCCGGTCACTCCATGAAATAAATATCGTATTCTAATGACTGCCTCGTGATATTTTTCATGGTAAGGCATAAAACATTCTTCCGCTTTGGTTTTTTCTATGCAGTTTACATGTACCCACCTAGTCTCTGCAATAACACACAAAAAGTACAATGATGAGGCCCCTGTGTCAACATGTACTGTAAATGTACAACCATACATTTACATCACTTGAACTTCATACAAAAGTCCAATCCATTTCGAAAAGGGTTAAAAACCCCGATAACACTTGGCATCCTGTGCACAAACTTTAAGAGACTAGCCTGAAAATTCTGGGGTTTTATGAAAACAGTTAAATACATTCCTTGCTAAATTTGACTTGTTAGGATGTTATTTCTTTCTGATGACCAAGACATTACTACAGGGAAAAATCTATGATGTTTATGTATGGAATTCTTCCTGAAATAAACAAAAATGAAATTTCAAACAGTATTTTTCCCTCATACAGCTGCTTTAACAGCCTATCCTGTATTTTGCAAGAATTATACATCAATGTGGTAATATCATGTCCACAGAAAAAGATTCAAAATCTGATGGAGCTTGAGACTAGGGCACTAGCAAAGTCGTTACTGTTTTCCGGTAACTCACTGATTCGCTTGGCAATTCTCGCGGACGGGATGACATCACTGAGTCTTGATTCTTCTCTATGATTGGTCAGCTGGTGGCTATTCAATATTTCACACTCGAAACGCAATGGGGCAAAAAGTGTTGCAGTCTATGGGGAAAATCTGAATTGACTAAACTCTTAACCAGGCTTTAACATTAAACCTAACAGTCCCAAATCCTCCGATTTCAATATGATTTTACATACACCCTAGGGGGGGTTAGGGTTAAGTATGCCTAAAATTGCACTGTTTATGCACAATGAATATCTCCCGAACTGTACAGAAAAGGTTTCCGTTATTTTTATCAAATTGCAGCAAAAAGGAGGAAAACATGAAAATCCCCGTACAAAGTGAACAGAGGGCTGCCCCTTTGCACAGACCATGGAGGAAGGAACACAGCGCAATAAATGGAACAACGCCCACAGCGAGAATATACTTACAAAACGGAAAATCGCAGCAAGACGAAGAAATAGGCCTAGTTCTTTTTTAATATGCAACTGCACTGAACTAGCAAAGCCTAACGATCGACAGCTTGCTGATGCTTCCTTCGAATAACAAGAACGATGCGTGACGCGGGCGTTATGGAGATATATGTACATGTACATGTGGCCACAACAGTGCAGTTGCAATGCACACCCTTTCCTTATGAAGAGCTCTATTTATAACTTACGTCATATACTATTTTTAGAAAGAAGCCGCGATTGGTCCGTGTGCTGTCTATACTAGCCTAGCCGGACCAACCAGCTCAACTCTGCTCTGTTTAGTCATGATCCGAAAAAAGTTCCTTGATCTAGCTATTATAAAAACTTCTTCAGAACGGAGAAAGCATTTTCGGGAGTTACAAGCAGCAGATTACTGAACTCTTTCAACAAATTATTTGCCCATTAATCGAGTGTAATCACCTGCTGAACAGTGTTTACGACTGTCCGCTTTACATCTCGTTCAGAAGTTAAGAAAAATACATCACATTCAGGCAAGCAGCGGACTCTACAAAATGAACTCAACCTACAAGCTCGTTGTTGTTGGTGATGGTGCCGTCGGGAAAACGAGCCTCCTTTTCAGCTACGCAACGGAAAGATTTCCCATCGACCACATTCCAACAGTTTTTGACACCTATTCTGGTGAGTTCTTAATCAAGGATGATTTTTCAACCAGTAGTAGTTTCTGTGTCGAATTTAATTAATGTCCTTACCTTTTCCTTCATTTGCTTCCGTGACTCACTCCGTCAGTTCCACGACCGCATACTCTAGTAAATCATTTAATAACACCAAAGATTCCTCAAAACCGCCCTAAACCTGTAGAGAGGAGACAATGAAAAGCAGTTATGGCAGGAAAACCCCAGAATAACATTCAGGTGGAGACTTAAAACCTAACCCACATGTGGACTGAGCCGGGATTCGAACCCGGACCGCGGAGGTGGAAGGCGAGGAAAGTACACCAACCTGACTCCCCCCTTATTCTCTAGACTATTATGATTATTCAGCACTGAAGTATGGTTAAAAGTTAACCGACATCTTAAATTAGGCTGATTTTTAAAACTTTTTAACCAATCTCGATTGAAAATTCGGACACTTGTCATGCCAACGTTATGTCTGCTCATTAGAATACTGCCATTTGTCGATTGGTACTCCGTGTATGAAGTCACATCGTTGACGGAAGCTTGTGTCCGCCGGCGTTTTATGTAGCACCGTGCATCCTCTTTTGTGGCCGGCTTGCATGCGGTTGACCTGTCAAGATGCCTATCCCAAGACCCGGGTGTGCTGAAGGTCGTTGCCTCTTAGGATGGTTATTGTTTGGATAAAAAAGTTTATGTTGCGCTTGGACAAATGCAGTATTTCGAAAATAATACATTATTAATGATTTTTTTTCGACAGAAATGTTAAAACTCACACTAAATTTTAGAAACATCATACACATTTTCGGATGACGTTTTTTAACTTTTGTATTTCCAAGACAGCCCCATCTGACTTTTATTGTTTTTTACGTCTGAAGATTTAAAATGAATAAATAAATAAACATAGAAACCTTTGACTTCATGTTCATATCAGGAATATTTTTCATTTTATGTACTAAGTTAATATATATGGAAAGTGCTGAGGCCACATGACCACTTCAAGAAATTTACGTTATCAGTGCATTTTGTAAGGAACGTAAAAATGACAGAGAATTCCTTTCGTGAAACGCAACGAAGGAAACTACGTCATGGCCTTTTTAACGCGTATGAGATGAGAATGCTATGATTGGCCGATGCATCCGGCTACTAGCGCCCTCGTATGGCTTGAGCCTGGAAGTAATCAAAAGTTTGGAGGCGGATAATTATCATGCGTTTCGCACCCATAGTGAATCCGTTTTGGATGGAATTTCATATCGTCCATCACCCGTCGTCCGTCGCCTCTTGCTTTTTATTGTGTCCCAATTCTGCCATTTTATAATCCATTTTCCGTCGTCCGTCGTGCGTTGCCTGCCCCCTTTCTTTTTTCTTTCTTTTTTTTTTTTGGTCACGCTTGCGCAGTGCTACTTTTCACTGTGGCCCTTGATCTTTTCATATACTTCAGCTTGTTCGATCGATTCGCCATGCCTGACACTCATTTAGCCTAGAACATAATGTATTAGATTTTCCAGTTGCGCCTTGCTCCACTTGGAAGAAGCAACATCCTTTCTTTTTTTAAAGAGTGACATCGGTAAAGTAATGCATGTGTACGGGAAAAAATAACCATGTTCTGTTAAATTCAAAAAAAAATTATTTTTACAAAATAGGTTTATATTAAGGTAGATTGTATTTTTAAGTTGATAACTTAGTAAAAGACTAGACGTAACTTTACTCAGACGACCAACGACGGGCGACGGACAACGACACATAATTATTCCTCAGTTTTCTACCCGGAAATTTAAAAACGACACGGTATCATTTTTCTTCAGTGGAAACCTGCACAGATCTAGTTATGTGACCCATTCATGTGTTCATCTCAATCCCCGTTTCGTTATTTTTATGAATTTCTCATGGCTTGACACAAAGATTGCAAGATTTAGATAATTCTTAGACCTTTTATGCTCGAATACATGAAGCATTCTCCGTCCTCTGCACGGGATAAGGACCGCTTTAATGCAAATTTTCAATCCATGAACGATCATTCTGGTGTAATTTTAGATGAAGGCTCACGGTCGGTCACCTTTGGCACGAAGAAACGGGCAGATTTTAAGTGACCCATTATTTCCAAACCAGGTTAAAGCAGCCTGATAATTTCGATGATGGATGACTTCTCTCCTCCACTATTAGATATTATACTTGTTGTTATGATATGACTTGCTATGATATGACTTTTTTCATCAAATATTATACTTCATAGTGATCCAAACTGAAAAAAGTTCATTTGCATGTGATAGCTTATCTTCAGGTTGTTGGGGAATGATGGCCCACCATAGGTTTTCGCCGGGAGTAGTTTCCCCAGTCTTTGCGTGTTTCTATAGATTTAGAATACATTTGGTTGTGGCGAGGTCCGAACTATTCCATACAATCCGCTGTATTTTTTTTCTCACTACGAAAAAGTGTGTGTGTGGTGGGGATTACTCAATATCCCATCTTCCCTGTCAAAAAGTGCAGAGTGGGGAAATGCATACCCCATCCCCGGAATTTATGCGCATGCTATCCGACTGTTGACGACAATTAACTTAGAATCTTTCGGAATTTGTTCGGGAAATTGAACAATGTCTCTACTTTTTGTCACGTGACAGTGGATGATACCGGACGTGAAGTTTTTTTGCACAACACCCTAGGAAATTTGGACTCGATAAATAAAGGCTGTAATCGTGACTCGGGAAGATATTTTTAAAGGTAAGGAGCCTACGGTCCCACATTTCGACTGAGGGCAAGCTTCCACGAGGTGTGAAAACTAGTTTCCTCTTAAGACTGGTAATAAAAACCATTTTCCCATAGGAAAGCATCCCAAGTTCCCCGGACAGCTTCGTAATAAAAAACACTCACACAGGGCCTTTGAATCGAAAGCGATCTACGTTTGTCAGACTCATCTGGTCTGAGAAAGACTACACTGCTCTGAGCAAAGAGAGGGCGCACTCTATAGCTACAACCCGCAGACATACGGTAAATAACCTTGGTTATTTCATATTCCGGCTTCTTCATATTCCGAGGCAAGTTTGAGTGACGGCTGTTTGTCATATGTTTTGTGAACAGAATACAAAGGAAAATCGAAAGTTTCTGTCCTTGAACTTGCCCTGGCTGGATGA